TCTTTTTTCCTCATTCATAATTCAAACGACTTTGAAATACGAACTGTTCTGTATAAAGATCAAACAATTATCAATACTTATTAGACGGACAATTATTCTTAAAAAATATATATATTTGATGAATGATTTGTAACAACCTACAAATATATCCTCTTCGCGAGACAATATTATAAACCATTATGCTGTTTTAAAAGTGATAATGAAAAAATCTGCTCTTCAAACGATATTTCAATAATTCCATAACTAAGTCGCCCGATGTATATACGCATCCCGATGTAAATACGCATATGTATGCAATAAAAAACTTGAAACTTGCAATAATATCTACTTGAATGGAATGGAACTCAATAATTTTTAGAAAAGGTCAAACGTAAGTATGTGTCAAAAAGAGTTGTTACATGGTTATTTACAATTATTTCAATGAATAAATCAATAACTGATTATTTTTTAAGTTTAAATTTGCCACGTACTTAATATCAAATTAATCATAACACATTAATATCTATATGGTTATTAGTTGAAGATCACCATCACATACTTGCAGACAAAAGTTGTTTTTGTTGTTGTTGTTGTTGTTGTTTAAGTAACTATATTGAATTAAGGATTTGAAATGCAATTACGTACACAACAAACATATCAAGTACATTTATAACGTATTTATTTCTATTATTCACATTGTTGGACAAATTCACACAAAAGATATAAAAGATAAAACAAACTGTAAGTATACCAATTGATACAAGATAAGAAACCATATAATTAAGAAAACTATGAGAACATTTCTCAGTCTTAACATTCAAGACAGTTATGTAATATCTGAATACTTTATTATACGTTTTTGGTTAACAGATAAAGGGTGATACATTCATTAAATTAGTATTATTTGTCTTGAGGTAAACAGAGATTACATTAACAATAATTTAGACATTCTATTCAATTCTTAGTTTAAACATAGATGATTGCAAATATGTATGCAACAACAATTATATGACACTAGAAGTGAAAGTAATAACAGTTTACCAACTTTTTTAAGCAATAAACGTGTGTGCGTCGCAATGTACAAAAGTATTAAACTACACAATGCATTCAGATCACATAACACTTTATTTCAAGACATTGAATTTGTTTAATATACGGACACTGTAGTTTGATAAAATCGCATTACACTTTGATTCATTACATTAGACATTTCTGATAAATAATTAATTGATGAAAGTGCAGATCTATATAAAAAAGAATATTGGTATGGATGCATCGCTGCTACCATTATGTTTTTGTTTTAGTTTTAGATGACACGGTTCCAATAGCCCAAAACTTTTATAACATTTTAACTTATAGAAATGTATAAGACGATAATTCTACAAAATGAAATGATCTGTTTTCATAATGCTTGTTGGTACGTTAACAACAAAAACAACAATCACAACAACGACAACGACAACGACAACGATAACGATAATAATAATAATAATAATAATAAGAAAAAATAATAATAATAATAATAAATAGTATAATAATAATAATAAAATAATAATAATAATTATAAATAATAATACAAAGGATATTTGTTTGTTCTGCATGAAAGATTGAAATATATTTCACTTTAGTGAACACAAGATGCAATATTTTACGGGTGGGTAGCCACGAGTAAAACTGTAATAGCTGGTGTTCACGAATAAAATATATTTCAATCTTATACTTAATTTTTTTTTAGTTCATGCTTTTTAAGTGATTTTGAGTATTTCTTACTGATTTTGGCGCGTAACGTCATGCATTTTCCTTTATGACGTCATCACATCATGACGTCACATCATCAATTTTGAAATATAGTTGTATTAAACTTTTTCTAATTTTGTTACATTTTTAACTTGATGTATGATGAAATCCACTTTCTTTTCCTAAAGAAGTACAATTTATGTATTACAGCATTTAGTTTTACTTGTTATTCAATTTAGTTATGATATTTTTTTTATTCAGATCCAGATATAGTTATAAATTTCACTAGAGGTTAATCAGAAAAAAAACATTTGATTTATTTCAGTAAAGAACTGGAAAGCATAAAATAAAATGATAATAATAATAATAATAATAATAATAATAATAATAATAATAAAAATAATAATAAAACAAGAGAGTATATAATTTTTGACTGCCACAGTAGCTGAATTAAACTGAGCTATAAATATTTTAAACAGTAAAACAGCAAAATTAAATTATGACATGATCTATTTGATAAACAATCCATTATTCACGTCCTTCAAACCTTTGTTTTAAACATACGATATCGTGAGTTTTTAATATCCATATGCAAATAATGTCACCATCCCTGAAATGAGAAATTTAGAAGCCCATTATGGTTCATCAGATATTTTATCATTTTTACTTCTCATATTTTTTATATACATCTCATAGCCAGCTCTATGTTATAAGGATTTTCTGTTAAGGCCTAGTAATTAACATACACTCAGGTATGGTTGTCAATAACCATTTTATAACAGTGAGTTAATTTATTTACATTGCTAAATCCACATAAAAGAACATTGAACCATTTGTTTCATTGTTCTCGGCGTATGTAAAATATTGACACACATTATTAATAGCCGGTAAATTAAAGGGACTCCACTGAGGTTTTTTGACATGATGGGACTGAAAATATTTTTTCCAGATAAATGTACCATTTGATGTAGGTTTAGACCACTAATCTTTGTGCAAAATTTCAGATCATTGCCGCACTTAGTTTTTCCAGAATAATTATTCAAATTGTAAAAAATGACCCAAAATGAAAAGCGTTTAAACGCTTTTCACTCAAATCGGACTAAGGAAAGCATTAAAATACGATTTTCAATTCATTTCAAAGTATATTTCTTAACTATCTTTGTATATATTTCTCTTTAAAGTGTCCAAGCTCATTTAAGTAAGAAATTCAAATGTTATGTTTTAAGGCTTTTAAACCTCAGTTGAGTCCCTTTAACATAATGGATAAAAAGTGTCATTGAACCCGGAAGAAATTTAAGATAACCAAATCGTCGAAATACCTGATGTGTAGTGTCGTCACAAAGTTTAACTAAGTTTGCAATCGATTTTTATAACTTTACGCTCTTAAGGCTTGAGGTATACCAGTTATTTCTATTCAAAGTATTTAGCGGATGTATAATTGATAACGCACAGAAATTGTTATATATACCATAGATATTCAAAGGTTATTAAGCGACAGGTAAGAACTTTTATTTTGTTTATAATTAGTATTTACTTTATGTTTTACTTAATCTCTACACCAGTATGACCGGCGTAGTTATCTTAATGTGAATACGTTTTACGTATGTTTATTTCTGATGGTTGTATTTTAAATTGACATACATATAATCATGTTTTTATCGATCTTTGGTGTTATCAGGTTATAGAAGTCAACACATAATGTTAATTGTTTATTATAATTCTAAAAGCACTGTTAAACTTTTCAGTATATATTAAACTTGTTTAATCCCTTAATTTTATACAATTGAACACGTTGAAAATATACAACCTACGATGATCTAAAACTGTAATAGGTTAGATATTTAACTCGTTATCTCTATAAACTTGTCGATGTAAACATACCCTTTATCATTTGCGAGTGTTTAAAATTATCACTTGTCACTTCATTAGTTTTTATTGTAAAGTAAACTAAACAAAACAAAATTAAACGATATTTTACTTTAAGATACGAGTATCTATAAATGAGTTTATATTTGTGTTGTTTTTTTTCTCTTATATTTTTTCTACATTTATTTAACGTGTAATATTTGTCATGGGAAGGTGTTTATATAAAAGGTATTTAATTTTTAACTTAAATTAATCTAGGACAGTAATTGAAGATATAATAGTTTAATTTTGAGAACAATTGTTCAATGTAATTAAATCAATAAATGCATTTTTTCTTTCTGTTTAAATGACATTCACGTTACCACGATATCAGAAAGGCTATGCCCGAATTCGACTACGTTGATTTATCTGGTTGCTTGAGTCGCACTAGCACTCTTATGAGGATATAGCAATTTCCCAGCTTAACCGGCGGAGTACGGCTTTAAACGTTGTAATGCGTATAACTGTGCTTTCGCATATACGCAGTTGATATACGTGAAATAATTTTCAACGCACAAAGAAGGCGACCACGTTTATAAAGCAACGCTTAATGCATAAAGCAACATTTTCTAAAAATATCGATGGGTTTTAAACGATTCACGTGACATTTTCGAACGATTTCAATAGAAAAATATCGCAGGTTTGTAAGTTGCCCGCGGCAATTATTGATAAAACCACAAAATGATCGCTGGCGTTATATGGCCGCAACCGTCCACCATACAAATGTGTCTTTTGTAGCATAAAGATAATTTACATCCACCATTGATCATAAAGCTTACATAAAACGGAATTCAATTAATTCACAAAAGCGATGGTGCTGACTTTGAACATGATGATGATGATGATGATGATGATAGTGTTGATGATGATGATGATAATTGTGATGACGCTGTAGCTCCTGCTATTTTTTTGTAATGGTTATAATGGGACCGAAGATGGAGTTCATTGTTTGAGATGTGATGATGTTTTGATTAATGATGAAGATAAGGGCGTAACATTTTACCATTTTGATTATGGTTTTAAAATCACCAAATAAAGACTCGGCACAACGCTAATGCGGCAGGGCGCTTCTCCTTGTATTTTATCAGGTCAGAACGGCCGCCTAAGTAAACACACCTTCGTCTTGTTATCAAGCGGGATAGATTTCTGGCATGGCCCAAGTGGCTAGTATTTTACTAATAAATATAAATACATGTTTCTTCATATGATTATATAAATGCGTGCTCAATAAAGCTACGTACAAATCTACATTTTAAGCACAGAAAGAAAAGATTCATTTTTGCCTATCTTGTTGTTACCATCTTAAACAAACTTAAACAATCAATATTTACTTTGATAGATAACACACGGAGAACAAACAAGCTTTAAACCACAAGTGTAATAACGGCGAATATTTCAATCGTTATCTTTATAGGTCGACCATTTTTACCATTTTATTATCGGATTTGTTCAAAACTATACGAACAAGAAATTTCCAGTTGTAAGGTTAGATTTTTTATACAAACTCTTCATCATTGTGATTTGTAATCATATCGATTAAGAATACGTAAATTTTATAGTTTATAGAAAGCCATCTATAGAATTTAATCAAATGACATAATTATTCATACATTACTTAGTAAAATGTAGAGAAGGAAATGCATTTCAAAAGTGGGAAATTTAATCAATTTAACTACATAGTTAATTGTTTCTATCAGATCTATACAGCTGTCAACGTTAACAACATGCACGTATATTTTGTGACTCATTCATGAAGATAATCAGATTCTAGTTTTAATGTTAATACCTTCAAACAGGTAAACTATGTCAATACAAACAACGAACGTATCTTAATTGTAATTAGACAAACCCTTTATATTTATATCTCATTATATAAAACTGCTGTGCTTGTGAACTGAAAGAGCTGCGCATTTCAAGCGAACAATTTTTTTTAGTTCAATACAATTAAATACTTCTTATGTATAATTATACAAACTCGTTGTTCTTCAGTAAGTTATCAGTGTTTTATGTGGGAACTGAAATAGCTAATTATTTAACATGAACGAAACACATTTTAGTTCAATATAATGATATAAATCTAATATATTATTATGCAAACTCAGTTATCAGTGTTCTTGTAGGAGAATATGGTCAAAACGTTAAAGGGATACACATCTAAAGTGTATAAAGATAACTACACTTAAAAATTGTGTTTGTTTGTTTTGGGTTTTACGTCACACCGACACAGTATAGGTCATTTGGCGACGTTCCAGCTTTACTGGTGGAGGAAGACCTCAGGTGCCCTTCCGTGCATTATTTCAGGCACGAACGGGCACCTGAGTAGAACCACCGACGTTCCGTAAGCAAGCTGGATAGCTTCCTCACATGAAAGAATCCAAGTCCCTGTCGGGATTCGAACGCACAGTGGTGAGGGGCAAGTGGTTTGAAACATAAAAGTAAAAACCAATAAATAAATGCAACGGTTTAAGAAGTGATATACAACGTGTCATAAAATATAATAAAAATCACATGAAACGTAAACTATAAGGACAATTTAAGCATGATTATCAATTAAATCAAATAAAAGTTTTGAACAAATAGAAACAATTATCATACGCGGGACCTATATGTTTGTTGTTTATGAGTATTAATCAATAAATACAGACTGTAATCGTTCAGTTAAGATTAAATGATTGCATTTGAACTCTAGCATTAGATGATAAAATTACTAGTTAAAATGCCGATTTGTGATATCTCGCGTCGTTAATTTGTATTGTTGTGAAAATCTCCAGTTCTAAGATACTATCATTAGTTAAGGTCGTATACAAACAAACAAACTACCCGGTTCTAAGAACTATCCTTTACAAACATAAAATATCAATTATTACTTCTATTAGGCAGTACCGGCGATTGGAAAATTGATAAGATTGATCAGTTGCACCAAATTAAAGTATGACCACCAAAATGTGCACTATAAGGAACTAAAAAAGTGACAACATAGATCAGTTGTATGCCTTCAAGGATACCTGTATGAAAATTTTAAGCAACTTTACCGTACGGTAAATGTTTATAACCTAAGTTTGCATGTATGGATCTTTTCAGAAAAGATGAACCTTTTAATAATCTACAATATTATCTTTATGAAAACAGTTTTCCAATGAATTGTTGTTATACTAATAACATTCAGCTAACAATCCACACATACAAAATAATTGTTTTTTCTCAAAACATGTAAAATAGGTATAAAAATGTTTCCCTACCACACCCATTTTAAAATGTCTTTGATCATTTTCGTAATTAGGGAGCTAATCAAAAAGTTCCTAAAATTTACAAAAATGGGGGCTATTTTCAAAGTCTCAAAAGTTTATTGCTTGATATTGTAAAATATCATATACTTTTAGCTTGTAGTTTTGATTTTTTTTAAACTTTGATGATACCAGGTACCATATTTGCTATAAGAATTAGCATTAATAACTATACTCATTATGACATTAAAATTATTATACATTTTTTTATTTCCAAAAGGGATATGAAAGATACAAAAAAATGTTAAAAAGACAAAAAGAAGAAAAAACAAATTGACCCTTCTGGGGTTTGAACCACAGGGCCCTAAGTTGCAATGCAAGTAAAAGTAGTTTAGCCTATTCAAAAGCAGAGGTAATGCATTAGCATGATCATACCTTAAATGTACCGTAAATTAAGTATGTATGGACGATTTTCTGAATTTGCGAATGTAAAGAACTTTAAGTTTTAGAAAAAAATGAAACTTTTAAGGTTTTAATATTGATTATTTATAAACGAACAGTAGTAAGCTTACTTACCAAGTGAAATGAGTTGTTCTAGCCGACTACTCCGACCTTTTTTAACAATTGATCAAACCATAAACATTTGAATTTGTCGGGGTTAGGAAACTGTGCATTGTTATGCAGTTGACTTTTATAATAATCTGTTTAAATAATTAAATATGAGGAAAATCAATCATTTCTGTTATTGACTAGAATATGATCATTTATGGCAAATTTTTTTACAAGTTTAGTATGAATAAATATATTCTTCTTGTTACACAAATTTGGGTATCTTCATTTTAGTATTACGACTGATGAATGTTTTTAGATTGCTGGCCGTGTCATTCGACTTACTGCTGAAGTCAAAAACTGTTGATGACAAATATATGACATGTATTTTATTATGTTTTTCCTGTGAGGAAGCTATCCAGCAAGCTAACGAAACAACGGTGGTTCTACTCAAATGCAAGTTTGTGTCTGAAATAATGCACGGAAGGGCACATGAGGTCTTCCTCCACAGGTAAAGCTGTAACGTTGCCATTAGCCGTATGATGTGTTGGTGTGACATTAAACCCAATCGAACAAACAAACAAACAAACATGTCATTCATATTGGGCGGCTATCTGGAGTGTTTAATCAGACTCTTGTAATGGTCTAGTTAAAAGGTTAAATTTCACTCAAGGTTTACATAGATATGTGTAACAGCTTTTTTCAAGTTAATACAATACAACTGTTGTATGAACACATAATTTGAAGGGCCGCAATAAATAACATACTTTTATAATGGAATATCTTAAGGTATAAATACACTCAAGGTTTAGTAAGATATATCGACATTCCTTTTGAGTTAATAACAATTGTATGAACATATTTACATTTGAAGAGTTGCATCTTATAACATAAGATGAAATTAACTCAGCGCATACATCTTACATATATTGTTAAACCTTATTGTAAAACTGATATATTTTCATATGTCGGCTCTGCAAAATTCTGCTGTTATTTTGTATCACTACAAAACACACACACTGACACTCATGCACATTTATGCATTTTCATGTATTAAATAAGGCATTAATAAACTTTTACACTTTAATATCCCCCTTTAAAGTAAAGCAATGCATTACGAGTGTACTACCTTAAGAGACTTTGAATATAGATTTGACCTAGTTTGCAAATATTTTTGATCTCAGTTGTAAATCAATACATCTATCAAGAAGGAAGAGATAAATGTGTTAGCTTTGTCTACATTCATCGCGATTTAATCCACTATCAATTAATTTACAGATTGCTATTTTTGTTAACAATAATATCAAAACCTGAATTCAACACTGGTTTAATACAAGTACTTTTTTATGAAATTTAATTTAAATCACTATACATAGCACACTTTGATGTCATGTATCATTAACGAGGAAATACGGAAAGCCTAGTATTGAGATAAAACAATATTTAATACTTATAAGACGTATAGATATGTTGAGGAATGAAAATCAGTTAATTTGATCATCTACACACATAACATTTATAATTCACCAATACTTCAACAATTTATATAACATGTCTATGATTACATAAGCAGATGTGTTTTATAGCACCAACATATTAAGAATATATATAAATAGCGACGTTTACTTACTAAACTGGAAATGAATTCAGATGAAAATAAACGTTGTACATATGATAAATGTGTGTAAAGGCTTTAAATTGAAAGAATGTTTGGTTTCAGAAAACAACGGTTTAAAAAAGGACTGACGTCAGTAATTGTATGTACATATGTATCACCTTGTGTTTGAACGAGGTTTGAATGTTATGTTGCAATTATATCAAACACTATACACCCGAGATATATTGTTTATTCTCAAAAACTTATTTTCTTGTATGTTGTAATAGTTTTCAATAAGAAATATAAAAAATACTCATTGGTCATTTTGTTGAAATATCGTTTGGTATAATTTTAGTTAAGTAATTTGTATGGAATTCAAATACAACTGTGTTTACATTTTGTATGTTCACGGCTACTGTTTCAGTTGTTCAAGATCAACATGCTCAAATACAACTGTCTTTACATGTTAAGAGCTACGGTTGTTCAAGATCAACATGCTCAAATACAATTGTCTTTACATGTTCAGAGCTACGGTTGTTCAAGATCAACATGCTCAAATACAATTGTCTTTACATGTTCAGAGCTACGGTTGTTCAAGATAAGCATGCTCTTAATACATTATGAAACAAGTACGCATTTGAAAATATCAAGATATTGTTACATGTATTAACTTCTTATTTCCGACTGTTTAGTTTGGTCAATAAACACACAGAGATACACACTGCTGGTATATCCGAAAGTTTTATGGAACTAATAGTTTATACCTCATAAAATGACTACGTGGCAAAAGCATAAGGGAATCAATATAGTATGAACACAATTTATTTCATTCATTATCAGAAAATGTTCAATGTTAAAAATCATTACATTATGTTACTTACAATAAAAAAAATGATAACTGCAAAATGACTTTCTTATTAAAGAAATTCCGTAAGTCATTTTGCATAGAAATATATCGGGGTTTCTTTAAATAATGAAAGGATTCAATAAGAAACGGTTTACTGATTTTGCGGCAGGATAGGTAAAGTAATATTTAAATTGAAAATATATCAGATTTCTAAATACAATAGTAAATATAACTGATCATACGATTATGGTTCTGTGCTCATTTATTTGAGATTGGAATCACTTTTTAACGATTAATATTATTATACAACGATATTTGATATTTCTCTACAGACATTGATCATAGCGACCTATATACCCTGGCTGATTGCTTTGAATAGTTTTTTGTAGTTTTAGTATATATTTAGTATTTTAGTATATATTCCATTGGTTGACACGTATGTGTCAATAATATTCCAGGCGTCACTGATACAATTATGTGTATTATAAGATCATAATAATAGTGATAAGTTAAGCCCCTCATGGTATATGAATAAAACTAATTTAAACTTATTAATTGTCAGGAAAGTCCGTTTAAATTGGTATCACATCATTTATAAACTTTACCTAAATGTTTAAAATCTACATAGCATCTAAAGTTCATGGAAACAAGTTTTTGATTAATTTTGTATTAATGTTTATAATAAGATAAACAGAGTAATAAACATTGAAGTAAGAAACGCACACCTTCAGTCAAAAGGACAAAAAGGAAAGGGGTAGGAAATGGACGGGATGACAAAATGATTGGTTGTAAAATTGAAAAGTGTGTCAATTACCGTTGACGTCTACACAACAAATGACATCTCAATTGTAATAAAGTATACATTTCAAACAAAATAAATTAAGAACACATCTCTCCAGATCGTCTATTTTATGAGTATATATCTCATAAATAAATTCAGTGGAAACCCTTTTTATGACAACTCAGAAATGAATACCACTTCGGTATTAAGACTTTCTTAAAGAATATAAGTTTTTGTTTAATGTCAATTGCCCTGAATTATGAACACACGTTACATTCCAGTGTGATTTTTTCTAACGTACTTACGTTATATCTCTAGTTTAATCGCAAACACTTTTTAATTTGTGTTTCACTAAACTTTCTTAGCTACGCAATTGCGTTAGTTTAAACGATAGGCTACGCACACTTATTACTTACGTAAATTGCATGTTCTCTTTAGTGAAATGCAACGAACGCAAATTTACGTTTTGCGTAAGTCCAAATTTACGTAAAAAATACAAAAACTCACGAAATGTTAGTGAAACGCTCACCTGATTATTTGTTTTAATATTTTTAACTCTTTTTTGAAACCACTGATAATTCAGTCCATTTCTATAAAAACTTCAAGTTCGCTTTGTTCTAGCTTGAATGCTCTTAGGTCTGACACTTGATTTAACAATGTGTTGTAACTGTTAGAATACTGTATAAGGTAGGATTATTGCAAAGTCGTTTAATATTGTTTTCTGCACATTTATGTTGTGAAGAATAAAAAAATACAGAGACCTGACCAATAATAATCTTATGATTTATAATAAATTCCTTTTTCTCGTTAGATAAGATGTCAAAATATTTGTTTATAGTAGTATATGAAGGTTGTTATTATAATACGTATTGTGAACAAAATGTAAAAGCATGTTTTTAGCTTTTACTACTGTTTATTTTTCAGATAAGTCGGCTTTTGAAATATGGAGGTTTCTGGAAAAAAACTTCGTAAATATTGTAAACCTTGTGAGCAACGTAAGGTATCGAAATACTCTGATGGTTTTTGTTCACAATGTGAAGAAGAAATGTGTCAAAGATGTTTTGATACACATAAACAATGGAAGCTATTTCGGGAGCATAGACTAGCTGCATCTGTTGCGACAGAATCTAATAAAGGTAAAACACCAACGTTTGATAATTGTACTAAACATCTAAACGAGCCTATTAAATTTTTCTGCCCCGAACATGGCCAAGTTGGTTGCGGAGATTGTATGGTAATTTCGCATAAAACGTGTAAAGTAGAGTATATACTTGAACACATCGATGGATATAAAGACGGTAAACAGTTCAAAATGTTGAAGAAGGACATAGAGACATATGACAATGAAGCAAAATCTCTATTAGGAAGCATCAGGCGCAACAAGAACCATGTAGAAGATGTCAACAAAAAGTTTGCTCTTGACGTGAAATTGTTTAGGGATGAAATTATTTCACAGATCACAAAACTCGCCGATGCCATGCTTAAATATGGAGATGATATCATGGCAGCAGACATGAAAAAGATCGAAAATCTAGAAAAAGAAAATAAAAGCCTAGTTGATGAAACAAATGGTATGAGAGACACATTACAATCAGAAGCTGATCAGCCTTACAAATTGTTCATCAGTTCCTTGTCATACAGACAAAATCTCCATCTCGTCCGAGACCAGCTAGAAAGAATCAAAGCGAACAATACGATCGAATCGTACGACTTCATGCCTGACTGTAATCTCGAACAGTTGATGAAAACTTGTAAACAACTAGGAGTGTTACATAAGCCAAACGAATCTGGAGCAGGTAAGTTTCTAACTTTCGTAGTATTTTTGATGAAACATGTTTAAACAAGCTAATAATATGGTTATATCAATAAAACGACTAATTTAAAACATCTTCTCAGAATTAACATTTGTTATATTCATTTATGGTTAATATAAAGGCTTTTTGTAATGTTATAAATGTTATACAGTAGCTTCTAAAACACGTTTTTTTAATAGTTTTGTAAACTACCGTATTTATTTTGCTTCTTTTCTTGTTTCATAAATCAGTATTTAGAGAAGAATCAATAAAAGCAAGCAAAGCAACACCAGTGGCAAAGGCTCTATGTTTACCAAAAGATCAAGTTAGTATCCTATATTATTTGAGAGTGTTGTAACTTTTATTAATATTTTTTTCAAACGAAATTAAAATATATTGTAAATGTAGAATGTGTTTATATTTTTAATGATACAATTAATAATAAATAATTTCGCCTTATATTATGTTTTCAGCCGTTGCTGGACAGACAACTTGTTTGCAAAAACCTAATCATTGACGGATACTTTATCAGGTGACATAAAACGACTATTTTTTACAATAACTTAAACTTTGTAATTTAAATGCAATTATTTCAAAACATAATGACATTTTTTATAGGTTAACATAATTTTATAATTATAGGATATTTTTACATGTTTTGGTCAATACGATTGATTTGCTTTCTTTTTCAGTTATGCTGAAAAAGCAAAAGGCGACCTTGGTTTATTTATTGACAAAAAAACAGTTAAACTTTTTGACAGTTTTGAAATCGAGGTTATGAGCATTGGTACAGACGGAGGTATAGGTAACTATTTGCATACTATAACGTTCGATCAAATGTAACTTGAGTCAGGTGTTTAGCTATGATTAGTTTGTACCATAATACTGATTTAGGAATTAAAGAAG